TATATATATATATATATGGGATACACAGTGGTGAGCCAACGTGCGAGCCCACGCAGCTCCACCACGTTGTGTTCCACGTAGACGATATATATAATTAAAAGGAAAAAAAATAAAAATACATAATCACAAACGTACGTATTAGTTGACGAGTTAACATGGGATTTAGCGAAAGGTTAAGGGAGTGTGCTAGTGAACCTTACAAGTAACATCGCTGTACATATCTGTTGTGTATAGCCGACAACATGCCACTATCCCGCGAAAGTAGTCTTCACATTCTCGTATCACAAAGATTTTCTACCATGAAATGCAAGAGATTTTAGCGACGGGGCCTCATTGATTTATGACACTTGGTTTTCATGTACCACCATCACATTTTTAATCCCACATCACATTTTTCTAGATCAGAGTTATGAAAATTTCGAGTTGTCAACCATATCTCTCTCGCATCACTTTTACAAAGAAGTAGACAAATTGAGATAGAAATCGTGTATGTTTTATATCGTAAAAATGACTAAGAAACGCGCCGCTAGGATTCTTGTTATTTCGTGACACTTTCTGTCTAAACATCTTAAACATCTTAAATTTGACACATTCTTTTCGTCTTTAGAAGGGAGCCCGAGGCTGGACGAGGCATATCGATCTGTGATTCATTCCATATGTCAAACCGTTGACGCAAAGGCAAAATTTTATTTTCCTCCGTATAAATAGTAAGGAGAATTCAGTAGCTTTGACGCGGAAAATTGCTCAGCCATCAAAGCCTCGGGACCCAGCTTCAAATACACATTCTCGTCTACATCCAGCTTCTGGAAATCGTAGTTAAATTGCTTCGGAGCGATTCTCTTTACATCACTGTAATCTCGAGCAAGTGATCTTCTTTGCCACTTCACGCGTACCGAGACGTAAACCAACATACGTAGAACCAACATTCGAGAGAGAGATGAAAATCATTTGCTCAAGATTATAAAAATACAGCAGTAGAAATCATCATTTTTCGATCCTTTCGGTAACTAAAGGGATTCAGCTTCAGCACAAACGCTTGACCCGACCGAAGCTACGATCGAGAACATTTTTCAAGAGCGCGTTTTGATTCATTAATATCATTTTCAGAATTTCATATGTTAACTTGAGGAAAAAAAGGTCTATTCTTTGCTGTGGAAAGCTGAAGGGTTTCCAAATTTCTTGAACGTCATTATTGAACGTCACAATTTAAAGCAGATATATCTTTAAAAATGTTTTGACCGTACAATATCAGCTAAAAGTATCAGTCAAAAATGTCAATATCAGTCAACAAATTTTGATCGTAAATACAGACTGAAACCAAGTATAAAAAAATAAAACAAATAATTTATAGCTTGTAATGGCTTTTGCAGTGTAATGATATCATTTTAGATAGTTTTAAAACAAATAAGTGAATCCAAATGAATTTTTGCATGAATATTTATTATAATTTTATTAATATATATAATAATTTGATTTTGTAATGTGTCCCATGTTCCCATCAAATTTGTAAATTATAATGTCGAATTGTGTATCCAATTTGAGTTATTTTTAATCATTTCTATAGATCGTCACTACTCTTATTTAATATATATATCATTAATTTAATTAAAACAATTAATCTAACTCAAGAAAATGTATTAAATTTGTATCAAATTTAATTGATTATTTACTAAATGCAAGTACACGTTAATATAAACGCTGTTTACTTTGAAACTAACTACAGAAATGGATTGATTTACATTTCGACAAATATATAGAAGTTAAAAATAACAACATGTTTAAACATCTTGTTTAATTCAAGAGATCGGGTTGCTTCTTTGCTATCTAACAGTATTTGAGATGTAACACATACATCCCCTTAAAGTAACAGAATAAGACCGCTTCTCCGACGATGTTCTCGAATGTTGCTTCCCTTGGGTGACGCGTGTTCCTTCGATATTGCGTTCTTGACGATCTCCTCGGCTCTAAGCACAAGGGGACACAATCCCGTAGCGCTTGTTACTGAGTTATCCATTGACACGCCGTTATCCGACACGCACGCATTGTAGTTTCGTAGAAATGCTCAGCATGCGGCAGCGGCTTCCCGGCGTGGCGGCCGAGTGGACGCTGCAGGCGATTTTTCTATGTGTGCTCTACTTGCAAAAAAAAAAAACAATACGTAATAACGGGAGAGAGAAAAAGAAACAGAAAACGATACGATATGTTTAGAAAAAGAAGAAGTCCTGTACTCGAATTAACTTTACGCTTAGCGCATGTTTCCTTCGAGCGCAAGAGCCGCGGGTGAGTTTCGCCCTCTTTGGTTTTTTCCCTCGGCGTTTTTATTCACGCACCTCATAAAGCGGACGTATCCTCGTAACAATTCATTCCCGCCGAATTCATGTAAAGTAATCGACACTACCGTTATATTATAAGAAGAAACGGGCAATTCTAAAGAATATTGAAGCTTTCGTGTTTAAGAATTCTGACGTAAAGTATAATATAATTTTACAAATGAAACCACACACGTTGGCGTCCGCTAAAAGCGCTGTTTAGCTTCTTCGATTCCCAATGTTTTCCAAACGGATCCAAGAAAATCTCCGAATTCACGCTAGGAGGTTCTCGAGAGAAACCCGTGATAATACATGTTTATACCCGAATGCGAATCTCAAATACCTCTTGAACGACATTGCGGAATCGAAGGATCTGGGGAGAAAGTGGAGGAAATATGAAGAGCGCGAGATTTCCGATGCGGCTCGTCGCGGGAGGGTGCAAAATTTATTATTGTTACGCCGGATCGCGATCGGCGATCAGACACGCGACTAAGGAAAAAAAAGCAATACTTCATAACTATCGTGTATGTCTTTGGAATGCCGTTGAAAGTCCGGCGGTAGAATTCGAGGGACGATAATATGTCAAAAGTGAAGAGAGCGTGAGGAAGGATGCATGAGAAGCTAAAAGAGAGAGCGTGCGCGCATGTGAGAGAAAGAG